TTGCTTTGGGTGAAAAGCGGGCGAAAACGGGGGGCTGAAATTGGCCCCCGAATCCGCGGCTCCTTGCCGAGCATTTTGGGGTGGGAAACGGGAGGAAACGGGGGCGCCGGCGCCGTTCCGCGCCCCGGAGCCCCGCGGGACCCCCTTGCTGTCCCTTGCCCCCCAGGCTGGGTGTCGGTGGCGTTCGGGGAGGACACGATGGCCGAGGGCCCCGAGACCCCCGGCGAGCTGTGGACGGCCGTGACCTTCATCTTCCTCTTCCTCCTCAGCCTCTGCTACAGCACCGGCGTCACGCTCTTCAAGGTACCGCGCTCTCGTTAGCGGGCTCGCTAGCCGCTAATTAAGCCGGGCTCGCTAGCCGCTAATTAAGCCGGGCTCGTTAGCCGCTAATTAAGCCGGGTTTTGGGGCAGGTTGGCGAAATTCGGTGTTTTTCCTAGGTCCTGTGACCCCCGTGGGTCTCAGCGAGGGCCCCGACCTTCATCATCCTCAACGAGGAGCGAGGAACTCCAGCGTTTTGGGGCGTTGCGCCCCGATTTGCACCAAAATCACCCCAAAAATCCCGTTGGGGAAATTTATTTTATTTTATTTTATTTTTCCGATGGGGAAAAGAAGCTTAGTTTTCCATTTGGGGTGAAATCGGGGTGTTTGGGGGCTTTGCGCCCTGATTTACGCCAGGTTGCAAAAAAAAAACGCGTTTTTTTGTTCCTTTTGTGATAAAATTGGGGTGTTTGGGGGCGTTGAGCCCCGATTTACACCAGGGTGCCCAAAAAACACCCGTTTTTTGCCCTTTTCTGATAAAACCGGGGTGTTTCCATGCATTTCGCCCCAATTTACGCCAGAGCCGCACAAATAATTTCCCCCTTTTTCCCCTGTTTTCCCCCACAAAAACACACGAAAAYGGGCTGTTTTGGTGCATTTCACCCCAATTTACGCCTGGGCTGGGAGAAAAAAAAAAGCCATTTTTCTCCTTGCGACAAAACCGCGGCGTTTTCGCACGTCGCCCCCCMAAAACCCCCGGGCGGGCAGTTGTTGTTGTTCAAAAATCGCCTTTTTTGGCCCTTTTGGGGCGTTTTCCCACGTTTTTGGGGGCCGCCCAGTCATTCCGGGAGCGGAAAGTGGCCGATTTTGGCGCCCAACATCTGGCCGGGCTCTCCAGATGTTTCCTGTTTTCGCCGGCGCCGTCTCCCCGTCTGAGTCAGCGCGCGTCGAAAATAACCATCGAGCAACCCCGAAACCACTGCTTTTGGCCCCAAAAACACCGCGAAGCGAGGGGAGGGGGAAACTGAGGCAAGAACTTTTCTTTTTTTTTTTTTTCTGGGAAATCCTCGCTGCTGAAAAATGGGTAAAAAAGCTGAAAAATGAATAAATGAGGTGCGAAAACAGCGATTTKGGGGTAAAAATGTCGTTTTTTGTTTGCAGGGCGCCCGGTTTTCTTGGGAATGGGGGAGGGGCATGCATTCGCACCCCAAAAAAAGGGGAGGGAAGGGGGT